GGCGAACTGGAGAACGACCTTTGTCTGAGAGCACAGTGTGGTTTTGTTGGAGACAGTCTGCTACTCTGCTTTTAGCCTGATCCAGTCCTAGTCTTCAGTAACTGGATTACAGAACCACGGCCCTGCTGGGCTGCCACCATGCTCCTCTGACTAATTGAATTCTCATGCAATTCTTAAAAACTGCATTTGTTCTAACTAATCTAGTGTCACAGGTACTCAAAATCTTTTTTTCTGCATGTCTAATGATTATACTAAAAAAAACCAGCTTGGCAGCCGCTGCAGTGAGCTCATGAACCAGACATGGTAGAACAGTCTTACTGACAGTCTCTCCCAAAAAGCATGCACAGTACCCGTCTCTGGCTACTGAAGCTGCTAATAAGTGAGGCTGGGCCTGGCAGACTCCCAGACTGCCGTAAACCCTGCACATAGTGACTGGGATTAATCCTCTTAAGCCCAGAGGGTAGAGGATTTGGGACTTTATTTAGGGCCATTTAGAAAAAAAAAACCTTAACTGCAGGCTCACTATTCTGCAAAATAAATCATGAGTAAAAAGCCACAATGAAATACCTCAAACAATACTGAAAGGCTTAACAAATCCTGATGTGGTGATATAAGTGAACACAGATCGAATGACACTGATGGGACAATGAACGAATAAAAGCCTAACGAGGACATTAGGTTAGGAGAAACAAGTGAATCAAAAAGAAAACATGAAACACAGACGTGAACAGCTGCTGATCATATGTAGCTCCTTGTTGAAGCAACACCAGAAAAGGTGAAAGACTTTTTGACTCTTTAAATAAAAGCACAGATGGGCCCACTGATGAACAACAAGGACACTGGGATTTGTCTTTTAGTGGTTTTTCTATTTTGAAAGGGACAAAAGTAACCAGTCCTTTCAACTGGATCCGCGACAGAAAGCCTCCCCGCAGTCTCCTTTGTCAAACGCAGCGCTCCGCAGCCATTTAACCATCTCTACATCTGTGGCACTCAGGGCTAGTTAACCTTGAAGGGCTGAGCCACACAAATGGCTACAGGGACAAGTGCGCAGGGTAAAGTAAAAGCCTGTTAGATGGGACCTTAAAAATAAAGAATAAATGTGCTGTTTTTGGAAAGATCATACCTGTGCTCATCTTATGACATTCTCAAGAACTGGAAAAAGCCCTGCACAGCAAGCATCATGAGCCTGTACACCCCTCTGAGCTGCCTTAGCTGGAGGTGCGGCACATATCGCCATCTGTGATTGGCCGAAATGCAGCATGTGACCAAAAATTGATGAAACACCACCTTCGGGTCTTACACGACTGGAGCACGGTGCGTCATTATGAGCTGCTGTCAGAAGCCGCAGTCCGCAGCTAAAGCCCACGCAGCTCAGTCTCTAATAGCTAAATTAGCAACAAAAGTATCATTGATCATTGCAGAATGCATGATGGATCAGGAAAGTGGTCCTAATCATTCTCGCAGTTTGTATCTGCAGGAAGTGGCACAAGGGCAGTGGACCAAGTGACTCGCGTTCTGTTAAATGTAGCAGAGCGATCTCTTTAGGAATACTGCAGATGTGGACTAAAAGGCAGCTGACACCACATGAATGCAAATGTGTCATTTGAAGAAAGGGCATTAGAAGAAAGATGGAGCATTGAGGGACTGCGGCATATTCCGAAAGCCAGAAATCATCAATACACAAGCCAGGGTTAGGAAGTGTCCAAACGAGAGGAAAAAACCGTCTGCGCTGTAAATATACTACAAACATCATCAGAAGTACTGTGAATGCATTCATCCAGTTCATCCGAGCCCTTTGAACGCTACCTAAGACCGTCCATCAGGGTTTATCTGCAGCACCTGCTGAGGAGGCAGGACGGCACCGAGCAGAGCTGTTCCTAAGCAACAGAAAAATCACAGCATTCCTCCATCTTCCTGCCTCAAGAGCAGAATGGGTGGTGGTGGTGGTATACGAGTGTGTTGTGGGATGGGGGGGGGGACTGTCTAAACAGCAAAGGTTTGCCTACTGTCATGTTGATTTCTGACTGATTGTTACATGCAGCAGATATAAAGTGTGGGCATTTAAAACATTATGAACACTCACACAAATCCCAGTGGTTTTCTTTTGTCGTGTGTTTGTGCATGCCAGTAAGCAAGAGAAGAGATTTAGAGTCTGTAGGAAGGATTGAGTGTTAAGCAGCTCTGTAGCTCTCAAGACAAAAGAGCAGCAGAGTCCAAACATCACTGCCATCAGTGTCAACAGTGTCTGTGTAGCATGACGTCTACACCTGACTGCAGATATACCTTGAATTTTATTTTGGTCACAGCTGCCAACAACCTTACTGGCCACTTTGACCCATAAACTATCAAACCCATGAACAATGAGACCAAGTTTTGCATGAAAACCATTCAGCTTTTGCAAAACTTTTCCTACATTTCCCGTTTGCGATATTCTTCCTCCTAACAACTCGATGTCTTCTTGCAGACAATGAAGAGGAAGTGGAGAGAAAAGTTGGACGGACGTGTTTGTATTTCTCTTGTGATAACATCCCTCTTGCCCTTGGTGGCCATCTTTGGGGTTATAGTGGGATAGAGGATTATAAATGTGCTCTACCAGAGGTTCACATCAAATGTGGAACTAATGCAACCCCACCATGTGTGGTAGCTTCCAGCTAACACTGGAATTTATTACAACACAGAAGGGGCTCCGTTCTGTTAGAAGCTGATAATCACAATCAAAATATAAAAGAGACCAAGCTGAATATTTAGTCCAAGTCTAAGTGGGGAAAAGATCCTCACTTTTAGACTTCTTCTTTACTGCCATGTCTACTCTTCTAGCCCACCAGTTTCTTTCTTTTTAGAGCCTTCTTGTTGTCATTCCCCTGCGACAGAGAAAAATCTGCTGCCAAGATATTGCATGGGAAAGCTGAACAAGGGAGAGGGCCACCGGAAGGCCGAGACAAGCAGAAGGAACAAAGGGGCTGGAAAACATTTCCATGTCTCTCAAAAACCCATGAGGCGAAAGCAGACTACTGGCAAAGAACGAGGGGGTGTACACCAGAGTCCTCTCATCAGCCAGGCTTTGCTAGCTCTGAGACGACTCAGAAAGAAATCACACATCAGACGAGGATGTGAACAACACATGAACAAGCCAGCTGGAATTAGCTGGGTTTTTTTTTTCCTGTGACAGTGGGTAGAGAAAGAAATAAAAGAAAGCAACATTTGATGGTCACTTCTGTCTGCTTTAAAGTCAGTTTATCTCCATCTAAATCACAGAAAAGAAACAAATTGTTGCTCCGGAAGAGAACTGGATGCGTCACTCGGCAGAGGAGGAATAAGTCAGACCACTGTTGAGAAAAACAGACATCCTTTATCTGACTCTCAAGGCCTGCTGCGCCGTAACCATCCGCTCAACATTCTTTCCATTCCCACAATGGTCATAAACTCTCTTGCCTCATCTGCAGTTTGTGCACTTCTAAAAGCGGGAAGGTTTAAATTCAAACATGCTCCCGCCCGTTTCAACCGAACTAGAAAGTCTTGTTTCCTAGCCCAGAGTGAGCGCAGACGTTAAAAGCATCACTCTAACAGCCACGACGTGTAAATGTGGATGTCTAAACGATACAACAAGAAAAATAACACAAGCAATGACCTCGTTTTGATTTCTACATCAAACAGCATATTTTTGATCATATCAGGGCAGTGGGTATGTCTCCTTGCTTGTGGAAACACACCAGGCTTATGTGTGAGGCAGAGAACTGTCTTGAAGAAAGGGTATTTGGAGCTGCATAAATAAATAAAGGTAGCAGAGTAATGGGGGACTTCCTGAGCACAGAGGTGGTGTGGGTGCAGGGATGCCCACAGTTAAGAGCATCCCTTCCTCCTCCTTGCATTTTTGGCCTTGTGGAATGAACTGATGTCTGCTCAAATGTGATCCAGTTCAGTTCAATTCAGTTTATTTCTAAAACACCAAGTCACAACAGAAGTAATCTCAGGGCACTAATATATATATATATATATATATATATATATATATATATATATATATATATATATATATATAT